AAAAAGGAGGGAAAGAAATCATCGAAGACATGGGTCAGTAGCTCAGTAGCCTGTAGGGATACGCCCCTAAGGGTGGTGACAGCCCCTTAGGGAAGGAAAGCTTATGCTCCGCGAGAACCTATCCTGTCGTAGGGGACCGCGGGATGTACAACTGGCGCACTTACTCAGACCAGCGCGGGAACGACGTTACTGCGACTGTCTTGGAGGTTCATGGGATTATTTATGCGTCGTCCCCAACTTGTCTCTTGATTTAAATTTTGTTTTGTTTAACTCCTGCATGACATGGCCGGGAGGGCTCCCGCACTTTGCAAAAAAGGTGGGAGCCGATGCGCTCGACAACGGGCGCCAGACTTGCCCAGGAAGGTACTTTAGGCCAGTGGGGATTGAACCCAAGTCCTCTTGAATGCCACCTGCGTACCTTGCCAGCTGACTCAGTTGGTAAGGCACATAAGTGACACTCATGAGGTCCTGCGTTCAATCCAATTGTCCTCATGTACCTTCCTAGGCAAACTCGGTGTCCGCCATATGTCATTTAGCAGAGAGTGCTGATATTCATAGGGGTAGGGGACCGGATGCAGCGGGCCTCTATCTACCCTGGCCTACAGCCAGGGCCTGTTCGACTATTTACGAGTTCGGTCTATGGAACCAGGCCGTCCACAGGCCATGTACTGTTTCAGTCTAGTTCAGTCCTGCTTTCTCCTCCTTCCGTTTCTTCTTCAACTCGGCTTCCCTTCGCTCGTTTTCAAGGCGCTCAGCAGCTTCTTTGCGTTCTGCTTTTCGCTTCTCCTTGGCCGCTTTCTTTTGTTGTTCAAACTCAACGTACTGACACACGGCCGCAACACTTTTTCCGATCTCCGCGACTTTGGGTTGCAGCGGCTCGAGACTTGTAGTACGCGGATTGTCCCCACGACCCGCCTGGCCCGGGGACATTGATCTCGCTCGGCTCGACGTCGATGGTTGCTTGCGAGGATGCGGACATTGGTTTGCGTAATGTCCAAGTTCTCCGCAGTTGAAACATGTCACCGGATCCCGTCTCACACCACGGTCGAAGTTTCGTCTATCACCTCCGCTCTCGCGCTCGTCCCGGTGGTCACTCCCGTAACCCTGCCTGTCGCTTCCATAGCTACGTGGTTCATCGCGACCGTAGTCGCGATGGTCATCGTAGCGTGCCATCCGTTGTCCTCTCGGCCGACGGCGTACTCACCAAAACAACTAGTACTCAGATTGGTTACATAGCAGCGTATCAAACATACCAGCATAAAGGATCCCTCAAACGTGCTCACTTACTCCGGTAGTTTGACTCCAGAATAGTTCACACGTGCAATATACAGATAGTGTAGATAGTGATGTGAGTAAAAAACCCGCGTCAAACACGCCAAAGCAATGAAATGAAAATGAAGTACAGTACAATTCGTCAGAAATTACGTTCAAGCAACGTGCCACACACCCAAGAACCTCCGTACCATCACAAGCCACGTTCGCAGCCGCTTACGCTATTCCGAGGACTAGCGTGTCGCGGGTAGCGAACCAACGTAAGAGGCCTAACAACTTGCACTGACTGTACTTATAGTCGTACTTAGTATCCCGTAGTCAAAAATCCCGCGAATGTACCGCCGGCAGGTCCCCGGTAGCACAACTTACTAAAGGTTACCGGATCAAGTCCCTGGTCGAATATTATCCATGAAAGATCATCTGGCAGGCTCAAGGCCTAAACCACTACCGGGTTCGACCCAGTTACCGTCCTAAAAACAATAAAAAACAAAGCCAAAAAAGGTTCAACAACAAAATCAAAACAAAAACCGAAAACAAGACAAAACAAGACAAACAACCCCAAATGCTTGCACACGAAAACGACACCCAAGGGTCCCAACAACCCACGAATATCGAACCCCACACCACTTGTCATGCCAAAGACAGGCAAAACCTCCTAAACAATCAGCCGCTCCCTCACCCCCCCCCACCATCGATGGAATTTTTTTTTTTTTTGGCAACTACACGGGAGGCACAAAAACGAGTTATAATTGCAGTATGGGCGAAGATACAGTTTGCAATTGCAGTTCGGACAATGTATACAACCCAACTTTTTGGCCAGGTACGGTGACAATCATCGCAATTGCAAACTGTATCTTGGCCCATAGTGCAATTATAACTCGTTTTTGTAACCGTACTGAAGTTACCCTTTTTTTTTTTTTGCCCAACAAGTACCTTACCACGTATCACACACCCCCAAAGTGAGAAATCTAGAAAAGGGGTGGGGGTGGGGGTGGCGGTTGGGTAATTTTTTTTCACCCTCAAAGGGCAACAAAATCCTACGCCACCAAGGCCATGCACCCAAATATGACACCCTGGGTGGCTGCGCCCCCCAAAGGCCCCAACCCCCCCCCCCCCCCACCAATGGATTTATTTTTTTTTTGGCGACAACGTACCTGACCACCTATCACACACCCCCACTTAAAAAAAATATAGACAATGGGTGGTGGTGGTGGTGGTGGTTTGCTTGGTATTTTAGTTTTCACCCTCAAATGACAACGAAATCCTATACCCCCCAAGGGCCTGCACCCGAAAACGACACCCTGCGCCCCCCCTAAGGGCCCCAATAACCCACCAATTATGAACCCCACACCATGTGCCACCCCAAAACACAACAAACCTCTTAGCCCCCCCCCCCCCCCCCCCCCCCCCCGACCACCGCTGGAATTTTTTTTTTCTTCGCGAACACGTACCTTACCACGCGTCGCACACCCTCACTTCGACAAATTTGCAAAATGGGGGAAGGGTTTTTCTTTTTTTCACCCTCAAAGCGGAGCAAAATTGCCCCCCCCAGAAAATGATTTTTTTTTTGTTTTGTCGGTTCATGGGCCTAGGGGCGCTTATGCGCCGCCGACTTCCGTTTTCGAAATTTCGAACCGACCTTCCTATCGGCCACCACGGCACCATCTGGACGCGTCCGCGGGGTCGCGACCTAGGCCATGGCCACGGACTTGTCCGCAGACGGCCGTCGTCGAGGGGATCCGTAGGTGTGTGTGTGTGTGTGTGTGTGTGTGTGTGTGTGTGTGTGTGTGTGTGTGTGTGTGTGTGTGTGTGTGTCACGTGTGTGTGTATGTGTGTGTGTTTCACGACGAAATCTGCATACCCTCCAATTTCTCGAGTTCTTGGAGTATTGTACTAGACGGGAGAACTCGATGAAGTTGAGATACTTTTCCCGTTGGCCGACACGTGATAGAGCAACAAAAAGCAGCAAAAATGACATATAGGATGAATTGGCGCGACATTTATTTCATGATCTTCAGAGTAACCTGACCGAACGTTTGGGGGCCCCCGGGCTGGCACATTGCAGGAAGTGGCGAGCGTTTTGCTCAAGCCACGTGGCAAGTGATGGAGGGGCTGGGTGGGGGAGGGGAGCAGGGAGAAACGCCTGCTCTGATACCGGTGTGCCGGACCTGCCGGGATGACGGTCCGTCAGGATGGAGAAGAAGGGTTGACGAAGGAGGAGGTGGATGCTGGAAGGGACAGCGCAGCTCCGACGCAGACTCAACACGCACGTACTCCAAGATATGCAAAAGTGAACAATGACGAAATACAGACTGCAGCTAGGGTATACCCCCAGCAGACTGACTGGACTAGACTGGACTGGCCTGGTACCAACAGTGGTACTCCGACGGGAAGCTGAGCGAGTGGAAGCAATGAAGAAGGAACTTGATATTAAGGTGGCCATGCAGGTGGGTGAACTACGGGATGACGTGCGTGATGACATCAAGCACGCGATACGTGATGTTATTGGGGAGTTGTGTAAAGCAATGGCCAAAGGGAAACAAAAGCAAGTAAGCCACGAAAGCAGTGACTCTGGAAGCAGTGCCAATAGCAGTGAGACGGAGGAGATAAGTGCCAAGACACGGAACCTTTGTATCAGCGAGAAGCGCAAGTGCGGAGAAGAACCAGTGTTCGAGGATAGCCCTCCCATGGAGCTGCCCCCGAAACGGACACCTATAAAGATGAGCGGGTCAGGTAACTTATCGGCCAGACTCACATGTTCCAGGACCAGGAACAAAACGAAGACACCAACACCAAGGAAGACACCGAGTTCTATCAGGAAGAAGAAGATCCCGGCTTCGATCGGAGCAGTTGGTCGTATGAAGTTTGAGAAACAAGTTCTGCACGAGTTGAAGTGCTGGATGCACTGGTACTGCAGAATATGTGCAAGGATGCGGGGATACCCTACAATGGAAAATTTGAAGCGATATTTGACATCGCAGCTCATCGGATACACGTCGTGTATGGTACGGATGGTGAAGATGAGGCTGAACCGGATGACGAGACGGTAAGTGAGGACGTGCATGACGTGGTGTGAAGAGGTTTCTCTGTACAACACCTTTGGGATACTGTTGATTACCTTACTAAATGGAGGAAGGATATACATGGGGTTGATGGAAAGATAGAGGAGTTGCTTAGACTAACGATAGAACGACTGTCGTTATCCGGAGCTTTACGCTGGAATCTGAAATGCGTGGAGTCTTGGTTGAGATTATTTGAGGAATTTGGTGCTGAATTCGTTAATTTGACTGAGTGCGTTTACGTAGCAGTATCCCCGTATTGCAAGTCGCAGTACGTGGGAAAATCTATGAGGCATCTCGATACGCGATGGCGTGAGCACATGTATGCCTGTCGGAATAGTAGCCCGAATCATTTTTATAGATGGTTAGGCTCCTTTGGTATCCAGAACTATGTCCTCATCCCTGTGGAGTCTATCCACCGGGGTGAACTTGCGAAGCTTGAATTGGTGTATATTAAACAGTGGTCTCCATATCTGAATACCGCAGGAATCAAGCCTAAGAAGCCTGGCGGACGTCGAAGCAAGGGTAGGAAGGAGAGATCTAGGCTTTCCCGATCAGCAGGGGTTTGGCGAACGATCGCACCTCTACGTTTTCGTTGTGGGAACAATGACGAGTGGAGACTGAATCTCTTTGAGATCCTGTCTGAGTGTGATGCTAGAGGTACACGAA